AGGGCCATAGAATCGTTATTTAGGGCCACAGAATCGTTACTTAGGGCCACAGAAACGTTACTTAGGGACACAAACGTTTCTTAGGGCCACAGAATTGTTACTTAGGGACAGACAGAATTGTTACTGAGGGACACAGATTTGTTACTGAGGGCCACAGAACCGTTACTTAGGGCCACAGAAACGTTACTTAGGGACACAGAATTGTTACTCAGGGACAGACACAGAATTGTTACTCAGGACAGACACAGAATTGTTACTGAGGGACACAGAATTGTTACTGAGGGACACAGAATTGTTACTCAGAGGGACACAGAATTGTTACTCAGGGACAGACACAGAATTGTTACTGAGGGGACACAGAATTGTTACTGAGGGACACAGAATTGTTACTGAGGGACACAGAATTGTTACTGAGGGACACAGAATTGTTACTCAGGGACACAGAATTGTTACTGAGGGACACAGAATTGTTACTGAGGGACACAGAATTGTTACTCAGGGACACAGAATTGTTACTGACACAGAATTGTTACTGAGGGACACAGAATTGTTACTCAGGGACACAGAATTGTTACTCAGGGACAGACACAGAATTGTTACTCAGGGACAGACACAGAATTGTTACTGAGGGACACAGAATTGTTACTGAGGGACACAGAATTGTTACTGAGGGACACAGAATTGTTACTCAGCGACAGACACAGAATTGTTACTCAGGGACAGACACAGAATTGTTACTGAGGGACACAGAATTGTTACTGAGGGACACAGAATTGTTACTCAGGGACACAGAATTGTTACTCAGGGACACAGAATTGTTACTGAGGGACACAGAATTGTTACTCAGGGACACAGAATTGTTACTCAGGGACAGACACAGAATTGTTACTCAGGGACACAGAATCGTTTAATTAAAGAGTATGTCAGACAACATGCAGAGGAGTGGCAGAGGAGGCAATGTTTTAGGAGCGAGCAGACGTGGCAGCAGAGGAAGGGGTCGAGGCAGCACTAGTCGCAGCCAGAGGCCAGTGCTCCCGGTGTCATCCAGCGGTCGTGTCTCCACCGACAACCCTGCCGTCATCGATTGGTTGGCTCGGTCGTCTTCCTCTTCCCAGGTCACCTCTGACACCTACAGCCAACGGTCGGTGGGTACGTCAGACACAACCGTTAGTTGGCATGGCCCGGGAGCAAGCCCACTGAAATCACGTGTCCTCTACCTGCCCCTGTCCTTTGGTGTTCCCTCACCAAGCGAAGTATCGCATGCTGTGGGCTCAGCCCCACTGTACAGTGAGGAAGAGCTAACAGAGGGCGGTCAGGAACGGGGGGAGACATCCGCCTCTTCAGCAGCCAGGCGAAGAAGTAGTGGCGAGGAGAGTGGCTCGGTAGCCGGTCTAGAGACAGGTCTGTCTCCTGACCCACACGCAGCCGAGGGGGCTAGTAGTGAGGCGGAGACCCTAATTGATGATGATGAGGCTGATCGCACTTGGCAGCCTCGTCGTCATCAGGCTATTGCTTCCGCATCATCAGGAGAAGAGGGTGGCAGCTTGGCAGCGAGCAAAACAGTCGGTGGGTTGCCCAGGAGGCAGCAGGGTCGCAGCAGTGTCAGTGGAGGCAAACGGCCACGGAGTACAGCACCAGCTCCACTGCAGCCTACCACCACGGCCAGTAGTGGTGCCGGTGTGCACGGAGGAAGCAGCAGTCAGCCAGTGAGGAGTATCGGGGGCAAAGTTTCCTACTCGGCGGTGTGGCAATTTTTTGTCAAGCCGCCCGAGGAAGTAAACGTAGCCGTATGTCGACTATGTGGCCAGAAAGTCAAGCGTGGCCAGGGGGCCCATGTTGGGACTACAGCGTTGCGTCAGCATATGCAGCGTCGCCATTTGGTGGCCTGGGAAAACCGTGATAAAGATACGGCGGTTCTGCCTGCCCCAGCCCCCGCTCCATCACCCGCTCCGTTACTTGCTCCGTCACCCGACGTCAATCGCCCTCTATCAGCCAGTCAAGGCTCCAACACCACCTCTGCTGAGGGGAGTTGTCGCTCGTTGGCATCTTCCGCTCGTTCTGATGCTCCTTCTCCTGCTACTCCTCTTCACGGATTCCGTCAGCAGTCTTTCTTGGAATCCGTTTCCAAGAGACAACAGTTTGCGAGCACGCACCCGACGGTGCAAAAGCTGAACGTCCTCCTGTCCAAGTTGCTGGTGCTGCAGTCCCTCCCTTTCCAAGTGGTGGACTCAGCACCTTTCCGAGAAAAATGATGGCTTGTGCCGCGCCGCGGTGGAGAGTGCCAAGCCGTCATTTCTTCGCCAAAAAGGCAGTGCCAGCCCTGCATTCACATGTAGAAGAGATGGTGGGCCAGTCTTTGAGCATGTCGGTCTCTGCCAAAGTGCACGGCAGCGCCGACGTGTGGAGCTGTAACTACGGTCAGGGACAGTACATGTCATTTACGGCCCACTGGGTGAACGTGGTGCCGGCACAGCCGCACCAGCAACTTGGACAGGTCACGCCGCTTTTGCCTCCACGTTTGCACGTCCTTGGTCCGGCAAAAAGATGTCCGCCTCTACCACCTCTTCTTCCGCCGTGTCCTCAGCCGCCACCCCCCGTGCCAAGTCCCATTACCCGACCGGCATATCACATGTGCAGGGCGCAACGGTGTCACGCTGTGCTGCACCTGGTATGCCTTGGCGAACGTAGTCACACAGGGGAGGAACTTCTCAGTGTAATGAACAGAGAAATCGACAGATGGCTGTCTCCGCGCAAACTGAAAATCGGAACCATGTTGACCGACAACGGAAAGAACATGGTGTCTGCTCTGCGTCAAGGAAGGTTGTGCCATGCGCCATGCATGGCTCACGTGTTCAATCTGGTTGTCAAGCGGTTCCTAAAATCCACCATCCCACTGCAAGACATCCTTAAAATGTCACGTAAACTTTGCATGCATTTCAGCCATTCCTACACCGCAAAGCACACCCTCCTTGAGCTGCAGCGGCAGAACGGAATTCCACAGCATCGCCTGATCTGCGACGTTGCAACAAGGTGGAATTCAACCCTACACATGTTAGACCGCCTTTACGAACAGCGAAAGGCCATCACCGATTTCCTGATGTTACAAGCGGATAAAGGTACTCCCCTGTGTAACTTCGATGTCAGCCATTGGCAGCTCATGCGTGACACCTGCCGCTTGCTCAGGCCCTTTGAGGAGGCCACGCTATTCGTGAGTCGGCAGGACTATGGGATGAACGACGTCATTCCTCTGTTGCACGTCCTGGAACAAATGCTGTTAACAATGGCTGGTCAGGGTGCGGTAGACGTGGCGCACAGATCTCAACGCCACATGACCCCTGTGGGGGCAGGACAGGAAGAAGAGGAGGAGGTAGAGGAGGACATTTGTGCTCAGGAATTATTGAGTGAAATGGGTGGTTTTTCCACTCAGCGGACAGGAGTGGAGGAGCAGGAGCATCTGGTAGAGGAGGAGGAGGAGGAGACAGAGGACCCAGACGCACCGTGGCAGTATGCTGTGGAGATGGAGGCAGGGAGTCCCTCGCATTCCTTGGCACAAATGGCCCATAGCATGCTCGGTTGCTTGCGTAGCGACAGCCGAATAATAACCATCAGACAGAGGGATGACTTTTGGCTGTCCACCTTGTTGGACCCTCGCTACCGTTCAAAAATGGTGGCCTTTTTTCACACCTGCTGAGAGGGAGGCCAAAATAACGTACTATAAAAACCACCTATGTAGTCAGTTGGTCTCTGCCTTTCTGCGCCAACGTCCATCCTCAGACACTGTGGGCCCTGTGCGCTCGCGTTCCGCTGCCATGGCAGCAGGGGAGGGGTGGGGTGGTAGGAGCAGTGGCAGCTCCACCAGCAGCGGCTGCCTCAGTCTGCAGTCGATGATGAGTAGCTTTCTTCACCAGCGCAGTGAGGAAACTACTAACCAGCCGCAGCAGCAGCAGCAGCATCAGGTGGACCTGGAGCAGGACCTCAAACAACAGGCTTGGGCCTACTTGGACAGCACCCTGCCAACCGAGGTAGACAATCCCCTTGACTACTGGGCAACGAAACTTGACCTTTGGCCCCAACTAGCTGAATTTGCCCTTGAAAGGCTGTCATGCCCGGCCAGTAGCGTGGCATCGGAGCGCGTGTTTAGTGCGGCAGGAGGTATTGTAACTCCGCGGAGACACGACTGTCCACCCAAAGTGTGGAGAGACTCACGTTTGTGAAAATGAATCAGGCGTGGATTAGTCTGGATTTCAAACCACCAGTTCCTGACACAACTGACTAAATCCGCCATGAATCATGCCCCAAACATGTGCCACTTTCAGGTCTCCTCACACTGCTGTGGTGTGTTCCATTTTTTGTCATAGGGTGCTGGCAGATTACGGGCCTCCCATAGCTGCTGCCAGGCCCCTAATCTGCCATGGGCCCCTGTACCGCCTCCTCATGCTGCTGCCAGGTCCAGAGTCTCTCATGGGTCCCTGTACGGCCTCCCATTGCTGCTGTCTCCATCGCCACACTCTGCCATGTGCCACTTTCAGGTCTCCTCACACACTGCTGTGTGTGTTCCATTTTTTGTCATAGGGTGCTGGCAGATTACGGGCCTCCCATAGCTGCTGCCAGGCCCCTAATCTGCCATGGGCCCCTGTACCGCCTCCTCATGCTGCTGCCAGGTCCACAGTGTCTCATGGGCCCTGTACGGCCTCCCATGTGCCATCGCCACACTTGCCAGGTGCCACTTTCAGGTCTCCTCACACTGCTGGGTGTGTTCCATTTTTTGTCATAGGGTGCTGGCAGATTACGGCCTCCCATAGCTGCTGCCAGGCCCCTAATCTGCCATGGGCCCCTGTACCGCCTCCTCATGCTGCTGCCAGGTCCACAGTGTCTCATGCCATGTGCCACTTTCAGGTCTCCTCACACTGCTGGTGTGTTCCATTTTTGCCACATAGGGTGCTGGCAGATTGGGCAGGTCTCCCACACTGCTGGTGTGTTGCCATTTTTTGTCATCTGCCATGGGCCCCTGTACCGCCTCCTCATGCTGCTGCCAGGTCCACAGTGTCTCATGGGTCCCCTGTACGGCCTCCCATTGCTGCTGTCCTCCATCGCCACACCTCTCTGCCATGTGCCACACTTCAGTGCCACTTTCAGGTCTCCTCACACACTGCTGGTGTGTTCCATTTTTTGTCATATAGGGTGCTGGCAGATTACGGGCCTCCCATAGCTGCTGCCAGGCCCCTAATCTGCCATGGGCCCCTGTACCGCCTCCTCATGCTGCTGTCCAGTCTCTCATGGGTCCACAGTGTGCTGTCTCCTCATGCCATGTGCCACTTTCAGGTCTCCTCACACTGCTGGTGTGTTCCATTTTTTGTCATAGGGTGCTGGCAGATTACGGGCCTCCCATAGCTGCTGCCAGGCCCCTAATCTGCCATGGGCCCCTGTATACCGCCTCCTCATGCTGCTGCCAGGTCCACAGTGTCTCATGGGTCCCTGTACGGCCTCCCATTGCTGCTGTCTCCATCGCCACACTCTGCCATGTGCCACTTTCAGGTCTCCTCACACACTGCTGGTGTGTTCCATTTTTTGTCATAGGGTGCTGGCAGATTACGGGCCTCCCATAGCTGCTGCCAGGCCCCTAATCTGCCATGGGCCCCTGTACCGCCTCCTCATCTGCTGCTGCCATGGGTCCCCCCAGTGTCTCATCGCCCATGTGCCACTTTCAGGTCTCCTCACACTGCTGGTGTGTTCCATTTTTTGTCATAGGGTGCTGGCAGATTACGGGCCTCCCATAGCTGCTGCCAGGCCCCTAATCTGCCATGGGCCCCTGTACCCTCCTCATGCTGCTGCCTCCTCATGCTGCTGCCTGTACGGTCCCATTGCTGTGTCCATCGCCACACTCTGCCATGTGCCACTTTCAGGTCTCCTCACACTGCTGGTGTGTTCCATTTTTTGTCATAGGGTGCTGGCAGATTACGGGCCTCCCATTGCTGCTGCCAGGCCCCTAATCTGCCATGGGCCCCTGTACCGCCTCCTCATGCTGCTGCCAGGTCCACAGTGTCTCATGGGTCCCTGTACGGCCTCCCATTGCTGCTGTCTCCATCGCCACACTCTGCCATGTGCCACTTTCAGGTCCTCCACACACTGCTGGTGTGTTCCATTTTTTGTCATAGGGTGCTGGCAGATTACGGGCCTCCCATAGCTGCTGCCAGGCCCCTAATCTGCCATGGGCCCCTGTACCGCCTCCTCATGCTGCTGCCAGGTGCAGTCTCCATGGGTCCCTGTACGGCCTCCCATTGCTCATGCCATGTGCCACACTTCATGTGCCACTCACCTCACACTGCTGGTGTGTTCCATTTTTTGTCATAGGGTGCTGGCAGATTACGGGCCTCCCATAGCTGCTGCCAGGCCCCTAATCTGCCATGGGCCCCTGTACCGCCTCCTCATGCTGCTGCCAGGTCCACAGTGTCTCATGGGTCCCTGTACGGCCTCCCATTGCTGCTGTCTCCATCGCCACACTCTGCCATGTGCCACTTTCAGGTCTCCTCACACACTGCTGGTGTGTTCCATTTTTTGTCATAGGGTGCTGGCAGATTACGGGCCTCCCATAGCTGCTGCCAGGCCCCTAATCTGCCATGGGCCCCTGTACCGCCTCCTCCATGCATGCTGCTGCCAGGTCCACAGTGTCTCATGCCATGTGCCACTTTCAGGTCTCCTCACACTGCTGGTGTGTTCCATTTTTTGTCATAGGGTGCTGGCAGATTACGGGCCTCCCATAGCTGCTGCTGCCAGGCCCCTAATCTGCCATGGGCCCCTGTACCCGCCTCCCGCCTGCCTCATCTGCTGCTGCCAGGTCCACAGTGTCTCATGCCATGTGCCACTTTCAGGTCTCCTCACACTGCTGGTGTGTTCCATTTTTTGTCATAGGGTGCTGGCAGATTACGGGCCTCCCATTGCTGCTGCCAGCCCCTAATCTGCCATGGGCCCCTGTACCCCGCCTCCTCATGCTGCTGCCAGGTCCACAGTCTCTCATGGGCCCCTGTACGGCCTCCCATTGCTGCTGTCTCCATCGCGCCACACTCTGCCATGTGCCACTTTCAGGTCTCCTCACACACACTGCTGGTGTGTTCCATTTTTTGTCATAGGGTGCTGGCAGATTACGGGGCCTCCCATAGCTGCTGCCAGGCCCCTAATCTGCCATGGGCCCCTGTACCGCCTCCCTCATGCTGCTGCCAGGTCCACAGTGTCTCATGCCATGTGCCACTTTCAGGTCTCCTCACACTGCTGGTGTGTTCCATTTTTTGTCATAGGGTGCTGGCAGATTACGGGCCTCCCATAGCTGCTGCCAGACCCCTAATCTGCCATGGGCCCCTGTACCGCCTCCTCATGCTGCTGCCTCCTCATGCTGCTGCCAGGTCCACAGTGTCTCATGCCATGTGCCACTTTCAGGTCTCCTCACACTGCTGTGTGTTCCATTTTTTGTCATAGGGTGCTGGCAGATTACGGGCCTCCCATTGCTGCTGCCAGGCCCCTAATCTGCCATGGGCCCCTGTACCGCCTCTTCATGCTGCTGCCAGGTCCAGAGTGTGTCATGGGTCCCTGTACGGCCTCCCATTGCTGCTGCCAGGAGGCAGCAGGGTCGCAGCAGTGTCAGTGGAGGCAAACGGCCACGGAGTAGAGCACCAGCTCCACTGCAGCCTACCACCACGGCCAGTAGTGGTGCCGGTGTGCACGGAGGAAGTAGCAGTCAGCCAGTGAGGAGTAGCGGGGGCAAAGTTTCCTACTCGGCGGCGTGTGGCAATTTTTTGTCAAGCCGCCCGAGGAAGTAAACGTAGCCGTATGTCGACTATGTGCCAGAAAGTCAAGTGTGGCCAGGGGGCCCATGTTGGGACTACAGCGTTGCGTCAGCATATGCAGCATCGCCATTCGGTGGCCTGGGAAAACCGTGATAAAGATACGGCGGTTCTGCCTGCCCCTGCCCAGGGTTCCATTTTTTGTCATAGGGTGCTGGCAGATTACGGGCCTCCCATTGCTGCTGCCAGGCCTTAATCTGCCATGGGCCCCTGTACCGCCTCCTCATGCTGCTGCCAGGTCCACAGTGTCTCATGGGTCCCTGAACCGCCTCCCATTGCTGCTGTCTCCATCGCCACACTCTGCCATGTGCCACTTTCAGGTCTCCTCACACTGCTGGTGTGTTCCATTTTTTGTCATAGGGTGCTGGCAGATTACGGGCCTCCCATTGCTGCTGCCAGGCCCGTAATCTGCCATGGGCCCCAGTACCGCCTCCTCATGCTGCTGCCAGGTCCACAGTCTCTCATGGTCCCTGTACGGCCCTCCCATTGCTGCTGTCTCCATCGCCACACTCTGCCATGTGCCACTTTTCAGGTCTCCTCACACTGCTGGTGGGTTCCATTTTTTGTCATAGGGTGCTGGCAGATTACGGGCCTCCCATAGCTGCTGCCAGGCCCCTAATCTGCCATGGGCCCCTGTACCGCCTCCTCATGCTGCTGCCAGGTCCAGAGTCTCTCATGGGTCCCTGTACGGCCTCCCATTGCTGCTGTCTCCATCGCCACACTCTGCCATGTGCCACTTTCAGGTCTCCTCACACACTGCTGGTGTGTTCCATTTTTTGTCATAGGGTGCTGGCAGATTACGGGCCTCCCATTGCTGCTGCCAGGCCCGTAATCTGCCATGGGCCCCCGTACCGACTCCTCATGCTGCTGCCAGGCCCATAATCTGTCATGGGCCCCTGTTGTCGCTTGTTGGCATATTTCGCTCGTTCAGATGCTCCTTCTCCTGCTACTCCTCTTCATGGATTCCGTCAGCAGTCTTTCTTGGAATCCGTTTCCAAGAGACAACAGTTTGCGAGCACGCACCCGACGGTGCAGAAGCTGAACGTCCTCCTGTCCAAGTTGCTGCTGTCAGGCTCGTAATCTGTCATGCGCCCCTGTACCGCCTCCTCATGCTGCTGCCAGGTCCAGAGTGTGTCATGGGCCCCGTACCGACTCCTCATGCTGCTGCCAGGCCCGTAATCTGTCATGGGCCCCTGTACCACCTCCTCATGCTGCTGCTGCCAGGTCCAGAGTGTGTCATGGGTCCCTGTACGGCCTCCCATTGCTGCTGCCAGGCCCGTAATCTGCCATGGGCCCCCGTACCAACTCCTCATGCTGCTGCCAGGCCCGTAATCTGTCATGGGCCCCTGTACCGCCGCCTCCTCATGCTGCTGCCAGGTCCAGAGTGTGTCATGGGTCCCTGTACGGCCTCCCATTGCTGCTGTCTCCATCGCCACACTCTGCCATGTGCCACTTTCAGGTCTCCTCACACTGCTGGTGGTTTCCATTTTTGTCATAGGGTGCTGTATGGCCTCCCATTGCTGCTGCCTCCACCGCCACACTGTGGCTCCACACTCTGGTTTTGGCCCCGTGACTGCCCAAATGAGTGAAGTGTGCGGTGATTCTAAGATCGACGGCACTCATCTGCATGTCATACTGACTGTCAGTATTATTTCTCTTCCCCAGCAGACTCCAAGGGCATTTAAATTAAAGGTACAGTGTTCTGCACTAATATAAAGGCTCTCTGAAGCCTAGAAACACACCCTTTTATAAGTTAAATTCGCAGCGAATATATTCGACTCGAATCGAAATTTTTTCACGAATTCGCCGAATCAGTCGAATCGAATTTTTGAATAATTCGCTCATCTCTACTTCTGACCATTGCATTCTGGATGCTCCATTGTGCTTTAGAGGGTTCAAATTTTCCAGTTTCCTTAGGCAATTGCAGAAGAGTTCTCATCAACATATAAATAGCAGCCATCTTTGGATTCCTGCTGCATTTTCAAAACTTTTCTTTCCTGCTTTGTTTAACAAAACCATACACTATTTCAGCAGTGTATAAAATGCAGAATTCAATACAGGCCTAATAAACCATTCAACTGGGAATTCTTGAATGTAAAACTTGTGCTGAACCTGCCAAGTACACCTGACAAAAGAAGGCCATGTTGTGAGTGGAAGGTGCCACATGTGGGAGGTACAGAGACACAGGCAGCAGCATTAACAGGAAGGACACCATCATTTAAATTAGCAGCATGAAGTGAACCCTCTGCTGAACATTTTGGATTTAATTAACCCCCCTCTCTACATAGCCTTGGTGTCAGTGAGATTTAGTAACCTCCTCCCTGCATTGGAATGAACTATGAAAGTACTGTGGGGCAGTAGATGACCTCGCTGACAGCACTTCCACAGAGACAAAACATATAGAATTGGTGTAGAGCTCATAAATACCTTATATATATATGAATAAATGATCAAATATTAATAATCATGAATAGTGATACATAAACAAATATAAATAGTGATACATAAATATGTAGTGACCTGATCCCCACTGGCATCTTATAGTGACAAAAAAGTTAGTGGAAAATGAAAATATAAATAACTTGGTCCTAATTGAACCCAATGTGATAAAAAACACACACACAACGTGCAAACCCATACCCAAATCCCAAATCCTGATTTGACCCTGATGAAGTCACGTGTTAGTCGTGATGCAACGCGTAGGCACGTGGTGACACAATATCGTGTGGACGCCATCTTGGTACTCCAAAACGAACCCATGCAAATTACACTCATAGCATGAGGTTGAAATGCTTTTTTTCTACTGATACCAAGTGAGTGAGCAATTGGCATTATTATGGCTATATATGTATAATAAACAGTATTACACTATGGAGGTTCTCTTTTTCATGTCATTAATATGATCCATATGAGAGTTGGCTATATTACGGGCACGTACACCTAAAGGGAACCTGAAGGTGATCTGATATGTTAAACGCATGTTATTGAAGTGGCCTTTACTACTGCTTGGAAGGATACCACAAAGGGGAAATTGTTCATGGAGGATCCAGTTGTGATCCCAA